TGTTTCTAAAATTTTACGTTTAGGGCTTTTAAACAATCTGCTCAGAAGATTTTAAAAAATTTGCTCAGAAGATTTTAAACAATCCCCCAAGAAGCTTTTTCTTGTTTTAAAGCACCATTTTAAAATTTCATTTTTAGAAATACCTTTGTTATTACATTCGTTTTAAAGAATTTATGGTAAATGCTTTATACCATATAAGTGCTTGCTTAGATAAATAAAATATAATACTTGATGAACAACTAGAGGTCTCTGCCTTTAAATTAAATATAAAATTATAATCAAATCTTTTTAACTTAATTAATATATGAATCCATAATTACTAATCCTTTTGATTTTTATATAAATATTATAACTATGATTTTTTATTCCTTATTTATTCTACATCTGGCTATTTGACTGATTTTAGACAATTTTAAAGGAAAATTAATGAAATGCTATTCTGTTACTCTAACATTTATCGATATAAATATAAAATTTGATTTAACAGATAATTCATTCAGAATAATGATGTTATCAATCTTATCTAATAAATATTGTCTAAAAGCTATTTATGAAATATAATACACCCATAGAAATATCTTTCTAGTAAAGCATTGAAGCCAGAAATAATAGATTATTTGGCATTTCTAAAAGTTTCTTATATTATTGAATAGAATAGAGACATAATTGTTTAATATTCGTAGAAGTAGAGATGAAACGCAAAAGATTTTCAAAAATCCATCAACTTTATAGTAAAGGGTCTGGTTGAAATAGAGACGAAACTAACAATTTAAGTTTTTATTTTAATGATCTATTTGCAATTAGAGGGTTGGTACATAGAATGCTAATGATTCTAAAAGTGAGAATATATTTATTACATTTTTTGCAAAGCACTTACCAGTATAGTAAGAAATCCATTATTGCAGGACTTTTTATATAATGCTCCCATTAAAATTATTATTTATTCAATAATTAAATTTGCCATGATAGATTGTTTTTTTTATTGGTCAATTAATTAAATAAATAAATATTGTTGTAAACTCTGATATAGAATTTTAAAACAATATAATAATGAAAATGTATCAATTTACATATTTAGAACAAAACTTATTTAGTTTTGATATCAATTAGAGAGATTTGATTTTTAAATAAAGGCTTGCTATTTATTTAGAAATTAGAGCCACAATAATAATTAATCAATTAGATTATTATAAAAACTTTCATATAATTATCAAATAATGAGAAAAATATTGTGCAGTAGTGAATATGCATAATTTTTTGAAACAAAAGTTAAATCATAGGATTTAAAAATAATTTAGTTAATTGAGGATGATCATTGAAATAAATTAATAGATTAAATATTTATAATATAAATTTATTAATAAAAATCTTTTAGAAATTAATAATGAGAGGAATAATTATTATGTATTATGATAATTATATAATTTAATAGTAAATCTTAAATAATAGTGTTTACTAATTTGTAAGTAAATGTATTTTAATACTTTCTACTATGATAGTATTATCTTAATCCTACAGATTTAATTTTATGAAATCAAAAATTATACAAAGCATGTTTATAAATGTATAGATTGTTTTTAGATTCAGATTTAGTCTAAAAATTTTAACCTCTATTCAATTCTATAAAGTTTACAATAAATGCAATTGGTTCTATTGTTACAATAATTCTAAATATATATATATATATATTATTTTTATTAAATATTATATTAGTTTTAATCGTTCCTGATAAACTGTAATTATTACTAAAATGAATAATGTGACGATAGAAACTCTTTAAATGAAAATAATTATAATTTTTAATGTTAAATGGAAATTATACATGTTCTTAAACAACTTGTATTAAAATACCATAAACTTAAATTAATGCTACTTATATACCCTAATACCTCAGATAATATGATTAATGATTTTAAAACCTCTAATAAATTTAAATAACATGAAGATCAGATCTCTTAATTATATCAATTTTTCATTTAAAAAAACTATTGATGTTACAAATCTTAAACACATACACAAAATATTATTGGCTCAGAAAAGAAAGTCTAATAAGCTTAAGAAAAAAGTGATATTTAACCCATAATTAGAGATATGCTTTATTTTATAGTTCCTACAGCCATAATTTTAGGAGGATTTAATTTCTTTTAGATTATTATGGATATTTTATATACATTAACAATCTATTTTACATTATATTTATTTCCCTATTGTTTTATAAATTTATTTAAAATATTGTTTTAATAACTTATGAAAATTCATTCAGATTAAAAACTTCACTATTTAAAATGTAATTTCCTTCATTATCATTATCTTATTTACAGCCTTTGTATTTGAAGATAGTAAATTATTTCTTTAGAATTTGAACAGGTTTTCTAACCTTAGAAATTAGATTTTAAATAGGATGGATGATGATTGCTATTATATGATTATAAATATTTGTTTATTCATATTGAAAGATTTTATAAAAGGTATATATGAGATATTTTTAATAGTTTAAATGTGCTAAAAATCTAGAAAAAATGAATGAAATGACTTTAAAAAATATCAATAAAAATTTTAATATTTTTTTCTGTAATTAAAAAGTAAAATGGTTTAGTGATTGGAAATATTAAAAATTGAGAATATTCTAATCACTCTCTAAAATTGAAAGGAATTTATCTACTTTTTTTCTTTAAGAAAAATATTGAAAATTAAATATATTATTAATAATCAATGAGTAAGAAGCAAGCCATTTAGTAACAAGTGAACTTACATTTATTCAATAAAAGTTCCCTATAAAAAATTATAATAATTTTCTCTGCTAAATAAACTTTAATAAGAGTTGAATCTTTTAAATGGTAAAAATCAAGATTAACCCTCAATTTCTAAACTTTACTTCTTAATACATGATTTTAATGTTTAAATTATACATATATGTTTAACAGATTTTTTAATCTTACATGTATATCAAATACTTTAGGATTTATTACATTTATAATCCTTATGATAATATCTATCAAAAGATTAACCATAAGTCTGATTATAATAATTTAAAGGGTAAGCACTAGCCTTGCTAACATTTATCTTATTTAAGAAAATGCAACTTATACATTCGGTAGAAGTATTCATACAATTTATCCAAGATGTGCATTCAATTTAATTATAATACAAAACTTACTTAGCAAATATTTGATGATAGATCAAAAATGTAAAATAACTATAATCAATATTTCCTATTCATGACCTCATAATAGATTTTATCTTTAAATACTAAATTCTTTTCTTAAATAATTAAATTATATGAAAGGTTTGATTGTTCATTCTTTCTGCTTTCCATCAAGTTAGATTTTCAATAAATAAATTATAAGTTTCTTACATTTTTTCCTAACTTTCTCTTGCAGAAGCTATTAAATTATCTTTTCTTTTTATTTCTTCAGTTACAATCTTACATTAATAAAACTGATGATAAAAATATATCTCAATCTTGGCCTAAACAATTAATATTACTTAGAAAAAATTTCTAATCTCCTTATTTAAAGGTAAGAAAAGAAAAAAACTTAAATTACTTTCTAATTAATTCCTTTAATTTATTTTAGCAATCTGAATTTGTTTGTGATCAACATCTGAAACTTTAGAGATTATGAATATGATATAATTTATAATTAGCTAAAAGCAAAATAAACTATATTTTATTAGTAATTAAAATAAATTCTCATCGAACTTATAATTCTCGAGTATTTCCTAAAATAAATATTTTAATAATTCGAATTACAAGAAAATTTAGATCAATACGATAATTGAAACATAATAAATGAAAATATTTTTCAATTTCACTTGATTATTTTCTTCCTATTTTAAATGAAAGTCTAAAGGTGAATTATTTTTAAAAAGCACTGTCAAATAAAAAAATTCTTACAAATCATATTTGGAAAAAGGTTGAATAACAATTTTTGCCATATACTTTATTTTATGTAAAATAAATAATTAAATAGAAAAGTTAATTCAAAGTCATATTTATAGGTGAAGGAAGATTTTTATGTTAATTTCAGGGTTGGGATATCAATTCTCATGAATTAGATTAATTTTGGAAGATTTCTTTATTATATATGTAAAAAAGGAATTGTTGGTATTATAAGAAAATAACGATGATAGCTAATATTTATTAGATGTAATTAGTTTTTGGATACATCTGGATAGATCAAAACTTCGAAAATATAATAAGTATATAGGATTTAAATTAGTGTAGGAATGGATGAGTGATTTTTTAAGTTTTTAGCCACAAGATGCTTAATAAATTTTTCAATTATTTTTAAAAGGAACAAACTTAGATTTAAAACAATGATAAATTAATAATTAAAAATAATTACTATAATAAATAATTTCAATAAAATATTTATTTTAATATAATTTAATGTTGATGTAAAAGATAAAGAAATTTTTGATTCTTTATTAACAAAATAGCTTAAATTTTAGAAAGCGATATAATTTTAAGGGGGCTATCAATCACATCAATTTAAACTTTTTATTCTTTAATTTAATTCTATTTCTTATAAACTAATCTTTCAGGAACTTAATTTGCATACTCCTCCTCAAAATTTAATTATATATACTCATATAAATTTTAATAGGTTAATTTTGTAAGAAAAAATGAAAATTTTTTATCATTCAAATACTGTCTCAATATGAATAAATTCTCTAAATTACCTTTCTACTTTAAACAATTTTAATATTAATGCTCTTCATTAGATGAGTTATCAAAAAAAGTAAATTTAAATTTTATGTTCAATAAAATTGAGATTAGAATTATATTTTTACAATAACAATTACAATATAATAGAATATTTTTTTGGTTCTAAACTGTTTAATATTCAAAGAGTAAATTATTAATTAAAATATAAAAATGGGAAATAGTGAGCAATAAGCTGAAACAATTAGAAAATTAAATCAAGAAGAGTTCGATAGATAGTATAAGGAAAGTGAAAGGGATAGAAAAATATAAAGAAAAAAGGAGAAGTTGGAAGAAGAAAGATAAAGATAGAGGGAATATGAGAGGCAATAAGAAGAAGATAGAAGAAGGAGAGAATAGCAAGACCAGAATTCATAATGGAAATGATTTATTAATAACATTATCTGGATTATATTCCATTAAATAGATCCAAAAAAATCTTATAATAAATAATTGTTTTTAATGGTTTCAAGTTGGCTTGGTGTAGCAGTCACATTACATTATTAGTCTTGCTTATTTTTTGAAGGCTAGGAATAATCTTATAATAAAAAGTATTCTAATTATATCAGAAAAGATTTTAAATAATTAAGTTTTGTTTGATAGTTGAGTTTAACCGCTTAACATTTATTAAAATATTAGTAATGGATTTTGGGATCTTAAATTTTATTAAAAAGACAGTTATTAAACTTGTATTTATTAAGGATTGACTCTTTTTTACTAAGAAATTACATCGGAATAATTCTAGATAG